TGGCCTGGTACTACATGTGTAGTCATGTGGTGTATTTACAGTACAAGCTGTCAAAACTCTCTACTCACCATGATTTTATTGGCCTGGTACTACATGTGTAGCCATGTGGTGTATTTACAGTACAAGCTGTCAAAACTCTCTACTCACCATGATTTTATTCGCTTGGTACTACATATGGTGGTGTTGCTCTTCAGACTTCTTTCTATAATTTCATCTACTCCTAGAATATAAAATATTAGAAGAGAGGAAACTTGATTCATCAGTGGTGAACCCTCTCAGCGGTTTTGCTAAATTAATCTCTATACCGCTCTGCTATTGTATTGGGTGGCGAAGATTTTGGATTGAGATCTGGAAATCTTGGTTGAAGGTTGTTTTGATGATTTATATGATAAAACACCAGTGAGACAACAGATGTAAGGTATATTCGATAGATTTCTATACTTAATTTAAATTTGTGTTTAGTTCTTTATAAAAAAATTGTAGCTGCTGCCCTTGGATTAATGAATCAAAACTGAGAAAAGTATAAACTAAAAGAAATGATAAAATTTTAGTTCAAATTTTCTTTCTAAATAAGACGCCTTTCTACTATCCTTACTTCGATGAAAATATATTGAAAAGATGTGGTTCAGTAGTTCTGAAACTTCCTATTTGCTTTTAACAATATAATCCATCAGACCGCTGTGATCTTGATGCATATATCTAATATGGTGGATTAAATTGGCGAAACTGCTGGGAGGGTTCACAGATGAGCCAGGGAATCCTAATCTATTTTTATCACAGTAAAGGACATTGAATATGTTTTATTTATTTTAAAAAATCGCGTTAAAGTATCATTCTTTCTTGTACATGGAGGACACACTGATGTCTTATGTTTAAAGTATAAATTATCTTACAATAAACACTGCAAATATCCTCCCAAGACCTGATGGCAGGTCCTTATACGATGTTACATTTTGTGTAGAGTAATACCTTTGTTTGAGTAAAAATATCAGGTCTCCAGGGAAAATTATCTTCTCAAAGACCTTTTTAATCTCTAGCTTTCGGGTACGAACGTCCTTCTACAGGAGAAGACACATTATACCATCTTTTCTCCTGTAGTAGGGCGTTCGTACCAGAAAGCTAGAGATTAAAAAGGTTTTTGAGAGATACGTTTCCATGGAGACCTGATATTTTACTCATATTTATACAAGGGATTTCTTTATTGAATAGCTCTGTTCAATGAAATAAATGATCCGCAATTGTAATTTATTCGGATATAGGAAAAATTGCGATTTACTATTATAAAGTATCAAAAAACCTTACGCAATAAGTTTCTTTATTTATATATATTCTATATACAGTTTCGATCGTCATCAATTCTTTTTCATCTCTGTCACCGTTTGCTTTTTTTTTTTTTGGAATGGCGCTCTCCTATTGGTTGGCTACGATCACGCCCCCTTTGCCCCCCCCCCCCCCCCATCATGCCCCCCCCCCCCCCCCCCCCCCCCCTCCCCCCCACTCGCTTTGTTGTTTTTGTAACTATTGTGTTGGAGCGGGTCGCTCCTTAAATAATCTTTTGTTAAAAATACCTCATTATAGGTCCGCAAATATCGAAAGTATAGGTATGTAGCTTTTGTACTATTAAGGTGTATATATATACACATACTTATGTACATATGTAAGTACTATTATCATTAGGGATATATTTAAGGCGCCAATTTATAATTGTAACAAATAGTATTTGAATCAAAACATTCAATCGGGTAAAACACGGGCGTTGCCCGGGTCATTCGGCTAGTATTATATAAAAAAAGAAACTAATTGCGTAAGAGGTTTTGATATTTTATAATAGTAACTTTTGACTGAATCTTGATTTTTAAAACACATTCTATATTAATATTGTCACGGCAGAGAGAAGTATTCCAAATGTTTAATTTAAAATAATATATAAACAAAATCTATAGAATGTAAAACATGGTAATCTCTTACAAGTGATAATCTATAAGAATGGTAAGTGACGTAACCAAATATCTTAGTTGATAAACTAACAACAGAGTAAATTAACACAAAGCAATAACACGTCATCTATACATATAAAACAAAAGGATCCAAAAGCGCGAATGTTTCTTTTATACATCGCAGTAAGGACAGTAGAAGTTCGTTTTATGTATAAAAGAAACATTCGCGCTTTTGGATCCTTTTGTTTTATAACAACAGAGTATTTACAATAATTGTTGTGTGACAATATCACAAGTTTGATATTCTCCTGTAGAAGTAAATTATCAAAAGAACAAAATCGTGAGTTGAAAAGTTTCTTGTAAGGTATTTTATTCAACCGATCTTTCGGGCATTTCTGTTCTTCTACAGGAGTAAAAAAATAAGAACGTAAAATATCATATACAGTAGAACCTCCCTGTAAAGGACACCTAATTGAAGAGCCAAAGTGTCTTTAAGGAGATGTGTCCTCTTACCGGAGAGTTGATAAATTTTATAAAAGGTAATTTTGCAATTAAAAACTATTCTTTGTAGAGAGATGCACCCTAGCGGAATGTCCGCTAAAAAAGGAGGTTAAACTGTATATACATATCTACACATTTACACATGAAAAAACAATAGAAAAAATAAAAGATAAGTGGGTCAGGTGTTGATATTAAAAATAAAGAAGGCATCTCCTGACCACGAGCACATGTGCTTTTTAGATGGCAGAGCGCCATCTAGTGGAGCAAAAATAAACTAAACGTTTATTTAGCTTGCTCCGAGATATTTGGCCAACCCAATTTTTTGATAAATCAAGAAAAGCCATCCACGAACACGTTTCGCGCTGTTGGCGCTCGTCAGCCTGGAGAAGGCTGTAACCACTGTGACCAAAAATATTTTTGGTCCCAATGGCTTCCCGAAAAATCAAGAAATGGGTATTTAAGGCCAAACTTGCGTAAAGACGCTTAACACATGAAAAAAACAATAGAAAAAAAAGATAAGTGGGTCAGGTGTTGATATTAAAAATAAAGAAGGCATCTCCTGACCACGAGCACATGTGCTTTTTAGATGGCAGAGCGCCATCTAGTATATTATATATAGTATAGGTTACAGCCTTCTCCACGCTGACGAGCGCCAACAGCGCGAAACGCGTTCGTGGATGGCTTTTCTTGATTTATCAAGAAATTGGGTTGGCCAAATATCTCGGAGCAAGCTAAATAAACGTTTAGTTTATTTTTGCTCCACTAGATGGCGCTCTGCCATCTAAAAAGCACATGTGCTCGTGGTCAGGAGATGCCTTCTTTATTTTTAACATTTACATATATTAAAATATTTGCATTTAAATAAATATGAACAGCAAATATATATATACAGGGTGTACCAGGTAATTTGGGACTAACTTTGACAGTCCATAAAACAAAAACTACTTGAGATTAAAAACTTGTTTTTTTTTTTCATTACGTAGCCATATTCATGTAAAATGCAACAGTATATGTGTGCGCAGTGTAGTGATGAAGAGTAACCGAGAATTTGAAAATCGAGCTGCCATCATCGTTGCTCTGCGCGCCGGAAGGAGCCCCAAAGAGATAGTGGATTTTCTTAAGTTGCCCAAAACCACTATTTATCGTGTCAAGAAGCAGTTTGGTGAGGCCGACAGTAACAAAGAGGGGATAGCTACAAGGAAAAAGCACTCGCGTCGATCGGACAGGGTAAGAGGCGAAGAATTTGTCAAAAATGTCAAGGAGAAGATTGATGGAAACCCTGGGAAGAGCATGAGGGCCATAGCCAAGGAAATGGACGTTGGCTCTATGACAATTGTCAGAACTATCCATGAGGACCTTGGTCTCAAGTCTTATGCCCTTCGGAAAGGTCAGTTGCTGAATGAGAATATGAAGAATAACAGAAAAGGAAAGGCTGCTGCCCTCCTCAACAACCTGAAACACGACTCTTTTGGCATGCTGCTAAGGTTCTTCTCTGACGAAAAGAACTTTGACGTGGACCAAAAGGTAAATCCCAGGAATGATCGCTGGATCTGTAAAGACCCCTCAGAGATACCTGTCGTGATGCACACGAAATTTCCTGCCTCCGTAATGGTCCTTGGCGTTATCAGCAGTGAAGGTGATGTCATGCCTCCCCATTTCTTTGAGAAGGGCCTTAGGATGAACGCTGACACCTACATCAATGTTCTGGCGACCGTTGTGAAGCCTTGGATGGACATGGTGGCCGCAGGAAGGAAGTATGTCTTCCAACAGGACTCAGCTCCAGCCCATAAGGCAAAAAAGACACAATCGTGGCTGACACTTAACGTCCCTAGTCACCGGGGTCCTGATATTTGGCCCCCTAATTCTCCAGATTGCAATCCCCTCGACTACTATGTATGGGGCGTTGTTGAGAGAGATGTCAACAAAGCTCCTCATACCACCATCCAGTCTGTCAAGAAAGCAGTTCACACGGTGATGACCCAAATGGACAAGGTCATCGTCGCCAAGGCCTGTGCTTCATTCCGCACTCGCCTCGAGACTGTTGTAGCTAATAATGGAAACTACATTGAATAAATAAAAACTATATCCTTTTATCTACTACTGTGTCAAATTTCATTCGGATATTTTAATTTTTACTTGCAAAAAATTTCAGTTAAAATACCATTGTTGAAATTCCCAATTTACCTGGTACACCCTGTATATATATATATATATAGATTTAAATATATATACAAAACTATAATTAAATGAAAATAAACTATGGAATAAAATTGTACAAGAGCGACTATTCTGATATATAATTGAAATAAAAGAAGACTGTGACCAAAATCGAGAGGGCTGTTGTTTTAACTATGTAAGAAATATATAAGTCTGGCAGGTCTTTTGATAACATCCTATATTAACTGCAGGTATGATTTCGAAGAGATTTATTAAAGATAGATTGTTAACCTTGCCCTCGAATCATTCATATAGAGTTCGGTTATAAAAGCAGAAGAGCTCAATATCCTATCAGAGCAGAGTATTGGTATATTAAACTGGCGCTGTAAGGATTCACTATTGATGGCCCTAGTGGGTTGGTAGAAAGATGGTCTAAACCGTTGATTTTCGATCGCTACGACCCGAGTTCGATTCCCGCATTGGGCACTTTTTTTTATTTAAAATTCCCGATTCTTTCAAATATCCAACCCCACCAGCGAGTGCAAGTAACCAAATGAGGCTCTGGCACATTTGTAAGTGCAAAGTTGAATTGTTTTCACATGTGTAGACATGTGGTGCACTTACAGTAAAAGCAGTCGCCTACCTCTACCCACCATGATTATCATGGCTTATACCACGTGTAATAGGGATAAACAAAAAAAAAACTATTGATGACCCTCAAGTTTTTTTTTTTTATCGTAGTAAGAACAATGCGAAGTTTCTTTGTTTGGAAAGAAGAAGATTGATTTAAATAATTTCTTTTTTTTTGTTTATATAACTTTTTTCCCCTCTATACTCTCTGCATACCAACACTTCTTAAAAATTAAAGATACTTCGGCCGGTAAATCATTTTATTACCTCGACGTTTCGACAAAAATATTTTGTCCTCGTCAGGAGCGAAAAAAATATTTTGTCGAAACGTCGAGGTAATAAAAAGATTTTTTTTTTGCTTATCCCTAGTACACGTGGTACAGGCCATGGTAATCATGGTGGGTAGAAGTAGGCGACTGCTTTTACTGTAAGTGCACCACATGTCTACACGTGTGAAAAGCAGTTCAACTTTGCACTTACAAATGTGCCAGAGCTCCGTTTGATTACTTGCACTCGCTGGTGGGGTTGGACTTTTTCAAGAATCGGGGGCCATCAAGGCATTTTTTTTTTTAATTAGAAAAAAGTGCCCAATGCGCGAATCGAAACCGGGTCGAAGCGGTCGAAAACCAACGGTTTAGACCAGGGGTCTCCAAACTACGGCCCGAGGGCCACATCCGGCCCGCAGACAGATTTTGTCCGGCCCGCGGAGACATACTTGAAAACTCCTTTTAGAGAACAAATATTTTTTATAGCAAATAAAATGTTTGTGATAAGTTGGATAAAGAAACACAGAATGGTAATGAGTAAAGACATGTATAATTTATGCAGTAAATTTAACTTCAGCATATAATAACTAACAAATTATTGAAATGAATCCAACTTACATTTTATACATTGTAAGTAATGAACAACACATACCTTATAACATGACATATGAAATGCTAATGAGATGTATGTAATTGAGATTTTCCACCGACAATAGTTTGTAGTTGTGGACTAATTTTACTTGTACCAATTATTAAAAGAGATTTAAGATGCTCGTCAGTTAATTTAGATCTGTATACATTTTTTGTGTACTTCATTTTGGAGAAGGTTTTCTCACACAAATAAGTAGTACCAAAAACGGAAAACAGCCCACGAGCAAATTTATGCAAATTATCAAATTGTGTCAGTGGAAGACTCTTATAAAATTCCAACAAAGATGAGTTTTCATATTTGTTCTTAATTATATCACTGCACTGAAGATCAATCATTTCCATTTGAAGTTCCGGGGCTAGGGTTTCAATGTCAGCATCAAAAGGATTCTGAAAAATCTTAATTTGATTCGCAATGGCATCAAAGTCCGAGAAACGAGTATCAAAATTTATCTTCAAAGCACTCAAAGTTTCGATTGCAAAATCGATAGGAAACTCAGTCTCAGTAGTTTGGCTGAATATTTCACATGTTTTAAAATGTGAAAAACATTTACTTCGTAGTTGTGATTGAAACAGTATCAATTTCATCCGGAATGACTTGATATTAGTGTATAAATCAGGAAGATGCTGGTTTTCTCCTTGCAATCTCAAATTCAGTTCGTTCACATGTTTTGTCAAATCAACATAGAATGCTAACTTCCATAGCCATGCGTTGTTTTGTAATTCAGTAAGAGGGCGGTGCTTTTCATTCAAAAAAATTTCGATCACTGCTCGAAGTTCAAAAAAGCGCTGAAGGACTTTCCCACAACTAAGCCAGCGTACGGCAGTATGATAAGGTAAGTCTGTTTCTCCAATCTCTGCATTAAATTGTCGGAATTGTCGGTGATTCAGCCCAAAAGATCTGATGAAATTAACAGTTGATATGACTGGTTTCAGAACGTCAGACATATCCAAACATTTTCCGCACAAAGACTGTTGATGAATGATACAATGTAAGACTAATGGTTTTGAGCCGCCGTCATTTTCTACAGCCTTTGACACAAGAGCGACCACTCCTTTATCTTTCCCACTCATGTTTTTGCCTCCATCAGTTGTAATACATTTCAAGTTTTTCCATCGAAGGTTCTTTTTATTAATGGCCATTTCAACTCCTTTAAAAATATCGGTACCAGTAGTTGTGCCATGAATACTATACATATCAAGAAGTTCTTCGTGCACTTCATAGCTTTTATCTACTCCTCTAATATAAATCAACACCTGAGCAGTATCTGACACATCCGTTGACTCATCCAAGGCCAAAGAAAACCACTCAACATGTCCATTTTTGTCGAACAGTTGAGAGGATATATTTTCAGCGATGTTTTCTAACCTTCGAGCCACAGTGTTTGCTGACATACTGACAGTTTTTAATAAATTTACCTTTTCAGGGCACATTTCTTCGACTACTGCAATTATGCATTCCTTGATCATTTCTCCATCGGTGAATGGTTTTCCACGTTTTGCAATTTCAAGAGCCACACGAAAGCTGGCACGAGTTGCCGCCTCTTGTTCAGTTTTGACTTTTGTAAATAAAGATTGCTGCGATTTCAATCCGCGCTTCAAAGCTTCGAATTTTTCTGTCCGCACAATTCCTGTATATTTTGAGTAATTTTGAGAATGTTTTGTTTCATAATGACGTTTCATGTTATATTCTTTGAGAACGGCTATGCTTTCATTCCAAATCAAACATAGCGCCTTGTTACTGGACTCAATTACGAAATACTGAATGTTCCACTGATCTTTGAATTTTCTGCATTCACTATCAATTTTTCGCTTCTTTTCCATTCTGCTAAATCACACACAAATGCAACAATTAATAATAACATTTAATAACAAATAAACATAACAATTAATACAGGAAAATTAATAATATGCAGTGTTGCCATCTTGGCCCTCGGAACTTACTGGAGTAATCAGTATGGCCCTAAGGCTGGAAAGTTTGGAGACCTCTGGTTTAGACCATCCTTCCACCGACCCCCAATAAAAAGAATTACTGGCCGAAGTATCTTTAATTTTTAAGAACTATGAATGCTGCCCAGACAACCTCTTTCTTTACGATAAACAGTACTTCTGTACGAGATGAAACAGTAGAAACAGAGAAGAATCTCATTCTAAAGCCTTGTCTATCTAAACACAACCCCAGCCACCCACAACGACCATAAATCATGCAGTTCCCACTCACGTCGTCCAAGAGTAAGGAAAATCTTATAAGCGGAAGTAACCATTCACTTCCGGAGCTCCATTAACCTAGCAGACTGGTCCCACTGGTTTCCTAAACGTCTGGCCACTCTGTGGTGCCAACGAAATATTAAATATAGCAACTGGCAGCGCTCCGAAAACAATAAATACACCCAGCAACGCCGTATATTGTATATACACATACATTAAATCAGCATATATTTACTAATCATTGAATAAAATACTATTATCTATTTACTTAAGTCGGTTGATTTTTGGAACAATTTCCTCCTAGTGGAATTTCCGTCCATTTTAAAAGAAAAGCCATCTTTACTCTCTTTCAAAAAATGACTCTCATGAAATTACACTCATAGACAAACTTAAGGAAGTTCATAGTTTGATATCGCCGGTCGTCTCTCTCTCTCTCTTTTAAGGAGACAGAGGCAATTTTGTTTACAAGTGGTTATCTCGTGTGTCTTCAATAAACGTCACTATGTATCAAATATCTTTCAGAGTTACTGTCTGAATACCGATATACATGCTGGAAGGTACAACTTGCCTAAGTTTTGTCCATGAGTGTGAAGCGCCCTGGATTGACGAGGGCCAGAAACCATGGTCTCTAGGTGATAAATATTCAATTATAATTATATGTTAATGTTCATTGAACTTTTTCTGCGAGGAAATTAATCTTAAAAAAACTACATCTTCTGTCAAAACTATGCGTCATCTATTGACCGTCCTCTGAACTCTAGTGGACTCTGGTCGGTATGGAGTTTTGATGGGACAACCAGCCTTTTAAAAACAATTTTGAAATTAACTTCTTTACGGCAAAATTTGCATCTATATTTTGTCCATAGAATTTGCATATTCGCTTTAACATCTAAACACATTTTTGGCAAATTCTGAAGATATATGGATCCCTGTGGATCACATGAAATCAAAGTCCACACCTTAGACTGATGATGGACATAGTTCAAAGCTATTGTCTCCAGTTGGAATTTTGATTTTTTTAAGCTGGTGTTGTGACCTTCTTTGATCGAATATGCTAATGTACAGAGGCAGTCAATATATGGCATCATAGCTTCTGCGAGAAGCAATTATTATTATTTTTTTTTTTTTAGAAATTTGAAGCGGCCGAAAGAGATTGAATTTGATTTATTTCAATGTTTATATATGAATTGAGAGTGAAAATAAATGAGATTATATATAGATATATAAATACCCAAAATTAGTAATTATATATAAAATAAAAGAGAAGCCGTGTATTTGAAGTGTATAATTACTATTTGTCAATTGTGTGTGTCCTAATACACAAGTAAAACATAATAAGAAATGAGGAACAAAGAAACATAATTATTAACACTCTAAAATTGGTAAGCATATACCAATCTAAAGACAGTAAAGGGGACGAAACACAAAGATACTATGTGCAATTATGTACAGCTTTTGCTTTTCATATATGTAGACATGTGGTGCACTTACAGTAAAAGCAGTCGCCAACCTCTTTCACTATGATTATCATGGCCTAAACTATGTGTACTAGAAATTAGTAAAAAAAAATGTACAGTCGAGCAGACATCACAAAAAAAACGAAGAATCTGCCTCCAGACAATTATCTTCGTTAACTTTCCTCACATGCTTTTCACATGTGTAGACATGTGGTGCATTTACAGTAAAAACAGTAGCTAACTTCCCACCATGATTATCAATGGCCTGTACCACGTG